CATTGTACTTGACACAGTCCTGAAACGTATTCTGAAAATACCATAATAACATATTCTGGATCAATATTGTTACATTATGGGCATTCCTAAGAATGCTTGTGGAATATTCTGAAGTTATCTTGAATTTATCCTAAAGTTGTGCTAAAAAAGTCCTCAGAATAGCCTGAGGCTGAGTGGAGGACATCCCGAAGTCGTCTTCAGGTCGTAATGAGACGCTTATTTGTTAGTCCACAGGCATCCAGAAATTTTTGTCTAATATAAGTGTAATGTTCTACATATATCCCGAGATATTCAGAACAATACAGGATCATCCTAAGGACGTTCTATGCTATTAGAATATATACGTTCATACACTACGTATGACATACACAATATACTAGTATGACATACATATAATACAATAATAATTATTAAATTCAATCCAAAAAATATAAATACAATAATATTATATATTCAATATAAACTTGATACGTTTTATAAAACTAAGATAAAATCATCGTAATTTTTAATAATATATATCACACAATATGTTTATAACACCTATTTATTAAAGTATAACAATATATAAAGTATACAATATATAATCAAAACTTATTAAAATATTAAAATATTAAAATTATAACAAATATTTTTACATTAATTTGTTAAATTTTGATTTTCCTTATTGCTATACATGTAAATACATTGTTATATTTATATGTAATTCAATATATCATATATATCATAAATATATGTCACAAATTCCGTACATTCTTTGGTTCTCTCTTAGAAAAAATCTGTTATTTAATTAATATACAAAGAATTTATAGAATTTTATAAAATACATGAAGCATCTTTTGTTTATTTTCATTGTCAAATTACATATTTTAATATTTTATATCACTTCCAGTTTACTTCATACTAATAATTTTTTTAAACTTTTACAAAAAAAATAACTTTTTTAATCTTTCGAAATTGAGAACACTTAATTGTAAAATAGTATCAATTAAGTATATCAAATTTATTATAAAATATAACAAAATTATGACATAAAATATTTGTATAAATAATTTAGAAATTTTAATAATAACGAAAAAAAGAAAGATATAATATATTAAAAATCTCTTTTTATTACTTAATAAATAAAGTTGACATAATAACAAATTGACAATGAAAAACATCACGTTTTATTCATTAATTGCTATTATTTTTACACAATACATTATAGGTAAAATAATAATAAAAGATCATACACAGGCGCGCGCGCATGCGTGCATGTATAGTATAAAAATACACATACGCGCACTTGTGTGTCTATAAATATTTTTTTGCAGTCTAATATATAATTATTGTTCAAACAGTTCAAACAATATAATTATTTATAGCGATTTCGGTTGAAGGCACCAACGCGCACTGATGCAGATTAAAGTCCGTTGTATATTAATCTATTTATAGATAGAAACATAATATAAATACGTTTTACTAATAAAATGCTCAATATACATTTCATTAAACAATGTAATTAATTATATTAAGCATCTCGTGGTCCAATTCGCTTGTGTACAATACACATACTTTTAATTTGTATAACGATAACTCAAGATGCATCAGCGCATACTAATGCATCCGAATTCGTTATTTTTGTACTAAAAAAAAATATTTTGTTACCACGTTAGATACATTCATGTTGTTATAAATTATGTAAAATTATATAAAATATTTATTAGAATTTAAGAGAATGCTATATTCGTTTGTATTACTGACAGAATACAATATTTTTCGTTTTTTTTTCTATATTGTTTTTATAGATTTAAAAATCTTTTTCCACGATTAAAGTTTTTGCATTAATATATATCTATGTTTACATTAATATATGTTATGTTCTTAACATATGGATTTGTTAAGAACGCGAAAAATTTTTTAATTTAGAATCCTTTTATCATTTGCTATAATATCCAAAACTATCAAGTCATATCAATATTTACTTTATATAAGATTTCTTCTCTACAGCCTATATAAAAAATTGATATCACTAATAGAAACAACATTAAGTTACAGAAATGAAGAAATAATATATATATATATAAGTTCTTATAACGAATTCAATCACCTGTATTACATCAGATTAGTGCATTTTAAATGCTGCTGATAACATAAAATTATTGAAATATAAAAGTATATAAACATTTCACATAATTGTATAAATAGTTAACAATATGTCATATTATTTAGCACTATATGTTACAGCACTATATGCTATGCATTATATACTATAGTAATTTAGCACTATATGCTATGCACTATATATTATAGTAATTTAGCACTATATGTTATGCACTATATACTATAGTAATTTCATTATCAAAAAAGTAATCTTATGCTATAGCATTTAAATATTTCATATGTAGTAGATATTTCATATGTAGTCTTTAATGTACATTAACCCAATGTAATGCAGGTGATCGAAGCCGCTATTAAAATTAAGCTTAGATACCTAATATGATATAAAAAAAATGTATACAAAAATTTTTTTATATATGTGCACAAATATATGCATAAGTTAATGTATGTATATATGTTTAGATGTGCATAAATGTACATATGTGTGGACGCTTTTATTAAAGTTCATTCATCCCTCCAGCATTACTTTAAGCTGCGCTAATATGTGCAGCATATTCATTGTTATCGTATTGTTTGAGACATGTGCAATGGTGTTAACATTAATTCAAAAGCCGCATCTTTCAAATTTGCACCGCGTAAATTTGCATCCTGCAGATCGGAACCAGATAAATCACAACACTAAAAAGAATAGAAGCATAAATATACAAATGCATGTATAAATATAATAAATTTAATAGTAAAAGTAACGGATGTATGAAAAATGTATTAATGAAAAAATATAAGGATATTATGTTTTACTAAAATAGTACACATAATAATGAGATTAATACCTCTAAATCAGCACCAGCTAAAACAGCTGATCTCAAAATGCAATTCCTAAGAATAGCATTCTTTAATGTAGCCACCCGGAGATTGACGGCTGCCATATTACTACCTTCGAGATTAGCACCTTTTAGATTTACACCTTCCATATTCGCCGGCAAACCACCAGGATCTTCAAAATTACACGAATGCAGATTAGCTGCGGCTAAATTTGCACATGACATTTTGACACATACAAGTTGTGCGCCTTGCAAATTGGCATGGGATAAATCAGCGCGCTCAAAACAGCATCCTGACAAATTAGCACCTGCTAAACTACAGTGATGCATAATGGCGTACTAGAATAAGAAACATGTAAAAGTAGATGTAGCTTTCTTTTATCATCATTTTGTATCAATTAAAACTAACAAGAGCTAATGTTATTTTTCATATTTATTTACACTCACACACACACACACACACACACACACACACACAAAATTTAAGAAATTACTAAAAATGTATCATAT